CCTGCCATCAGGTCTGGTAAGTGTTCTGGAATTTGTTCTGTCTTTCCGGCATGCGTTCTGACAACCATTCTGCCGTCAAGTCTAACATGTCTTCTTGACATTTCTTCTGGCATGCGCTTCTGAGAGGTGTTCTCACATCAAGTTTGAACCAAGCCGGGCATGTGTTTTTGACATGTGTTGTCGCATATGGTCCTGCTTCGGTTCTGGTATGTGTTCTGATATTTGTTTGGTTATGTATGTTGACACTTGTTCTGTCATCAACCTGCCATTTGTTCCAATATTGTTCTGCGTGTTAACACTGGCATTGTTCTATTCTAGCATCACATCTGAAGAGTGTTCCGACATGTGTTTTGATTTGAGAGACACTGTTTATTTGTTATGTGGGCCTTGCGCATTTCAAGTTGGTGAGTGTATTATCGTTTTCCAACCTTACTTATATTAAAGGTTGTTTTCACAATGCAGCAGCAGACTTTTTGGACATGGAAGCAGACGTGCGACGGTCAAAACTCCTTCTGTGTGGTAAGGTCATGGGTATCGCCTTCAATGGTGGCATCGCTACACACAGCGCCAGCATTGTTTTTGACTTGTCGCCGTCTGGTGGGGGCAGTACTAGCAAAAGCAGTCGCAGTAGGAGTAGTAGTAGTAGCAGCAGGAGTAGTAGTAGTGGTGGTAGGAGTAGCAGTAGCAGTAGCAGTAGCAGTAGTAGCAGTAGTAGTAGTAGTGGTAGTGGTAGTGGTAGTGGTAATGGTAGTAGTAGTAGTAGTAGTAGTAGTAGTAGTAGTAGTAGTGGTAGTAGTAGTAGCAGCAGTAGCAGTAGCAGTAGCAGTAGCAGTAGCAGTAGCAGTAGCAGTAGCAGTAGCAGTAGCAGTAGCAGTAGCAGTAGTAGTAGTAGTAGTAGTAGTACCACTACTAGCAGTACTAGTACTTGTAGCGCTAGTAGTAGTACCAGTGGCAGTAGTAGTGGTAGTAGTCGTAGTAGCAGTAGTAGTGGTACTAGTAGTGCTAGTAGTAGCAGCAGTAGTGGTAGTGGCAGTAGGAGCAGTAGCAGTGGCAGTGGCAGTCGCAGTGGCGGCACAGGAGGAGCAGTACTAGCAGTAGTAGTCGTCGTTGTCATGGTTGTGGTTGTGGTTGTGGTAGTGGTGATGATAGTGGTAGTGGTAGTGGTAGTGGTAGTGGTAGTGGTAGTGGTAGTAGTAGTAGTAGTAGTAGTAGTAGCAGGAGTAGTAGTAGTAGTAGACCAGCCATGTCTTGAGCTTGTTTGGAAGATATGTTTCAGATACAAGTGGGGCACTGGTTTCGTAGCACAGGTTTGTCTACATTTACGTTATCGTTTGGTTATCGTTTAGGTTATCGTTTGACTACAGCTACATTTCGGACAAACCTGTCGCCAAAGTCCGAAGTCAAATACGGCTTTGGGAAAGGCTACACTAAGCAGAAACGCGGTTCCCTGATGGTCTTCATGGTTAAAAAGTTTGTACTGCAGATATGCAAACTAAGCTTTCCTATAATTAAACATATCAATATGTTATTGTTTTTTGATGAGTGTATTATCGTTTTCCAAGTAAAATGCAAATTCTGCAATCCCAATGTCGGGTTCTTTACTAAATACCTTTGCGTAAATAAATATGGTTGCTCATTTGCGTTCTGGCAAGTATTCTGACATCAAGTCTGCCGCTTGCTCCGGCATGTCTTTCGACACACGCTCCGACATGTGTTCTGAAATTCTGGTTTGGGCTTATGTTTCAGCGTTTGCACATGTCCAAGGTGCACCGCGCAACCAACACCGCCAACAGCAGTGCTGTATAAGGCAAAGGAGGCGGCGCAAGAGGACGAGGAGGCGGCGGGATCCCTGACATACCATATCTAGAGACCCTCACCTAACAGGTGGGGAAACAAACAAACAAAACAAACACAATTGTTCAAACACAAAGAAGTCAACGCTCGATATGGTCCAGTGTTTGTAGGTGAGTCTCACCTTTCTGCCATAGGCAATGTGTTCACATATTGCGCCAGAATGACAGAACCAGCACTACGACAACAGCAACACAATATGATCATATGACTTGTAATATCTTGTGATAGCGGTACTTGGCATTGGAGTTGATTGCGTGTGAACGTGGCTTCATGTTCCTCTTGGCCTGGAACCATACTATGCGATGTTCCCAAATACATCACCATTGTTTCCTTGTCATCTCAACATGCGGTTTCCAATGAGTCTAGTCTCTGCGGCAGCATCTTCCGAAAGGGAAAGCAAACACAGTTGGACACCCAGACAAAATGATGGAGACCAGCTTGGCTTAGCTTCAAAAAGCACAAGATAGCACAAGCATACTCAGAACCAGTGTTCCTGGGGTTGTGCACCTAGCATCACCTGCCATGCTTTGGGTCTGCACCCAGCTGGGGAGGCCTGAGCAACGACAAAGAAATCGGATCCGAATGAAAAGGCATCAATAAAATAAGGGTCTGATAATAGGTAATGATATGCTGGAACTAGGGATGGCTCCTATAACTTTAGTAGCCATAATGAACTCCGTTGGTTGACATTCCTCATTCCTCCTACAGTTGGCGTGCCCGACGTCGTCCGTTTCAGGAAGCAAGACTCAATCCCCCACTGTTTGGTTAGAGCATGTTTGACCTCAAGCATCTGGACATATGCTGCATGAAACATGGCAAGAAGGTGTTTGAAAGTGGCAGGGGAGTTGCATAAGTGGCAGGGGCACCACTCTACCATGCAGTTGGATTGAACATTATTGCCGGGAACTGAACTCCCTATATAAATCAATAATACATGCTTTTCTTTTTGTTTGGGGTCCGGGAACGCGACCTCGTTAAACATGAAGCGATAAAAACGAGTGCCTGCACTGATGCCATCTTGAAAAACTTATGCTTTCCAGAATGCCTACAATAGTGTCCCAATACGTTCGGACATATGAGGGAACAAGCTACCCCCCACTCAGCACACAATTGACGTGGAATCTGAACAAGGGGCCTGCGCTTTTGGTGGTCAAAACTATGAGGCTCGAGTTCGCACCTATGAGCTGAGTCAAGAACCCGACCCAACCCAAATGCCCAGCACAAAAAACTGCGAGCATCTGCGAGCTGTCTTTCCAAACAGGATATTCAAACAGTGCGTAAAAAACAGTGTGCATGGTGATGTCAAAAAGGTACACAACCATCAACTGTAACCTGCTTGATATCGACCTGATCAACGGTCCAAGAAGGGTGATCCGTTGACGAAGAATCGCCTCAAGGTAGCTCAGTCCGACTTTGGGTGTCCCAAAAAAATGTGAGGTTCTCCCAGTCCCAACAATCCCAGGGTCTTTCTCCCCTGAATGCGCAGTACGATGGTGCAATCAGGAAGCTCCCAGCACCAGCTTCTGAAACCTTGAACCCCTACCTGGAAACAAATTGGGTCACATCGTCAAAACTCTGCAGGTGTATGGATCCCACGTCTATTGCTTTTTGGCTGTGTTTGTCTCTCTTTTCAAGATTCGGTGGAGAGTTTATGGGGAGTTGCCTTTTACCTCACAGTGTTCTCTATACATATCTTAAGATCTTATACACATATCACATATGATCTCTGTCAAATCATCCGGTCCTCGATCCTTCCTCCGTTTGCGCCGACCGACCGACTGAGGGACCAACCGGAGCAGTGCCACTGGCCCCCGGGTCTCAACCGCGGCGGTAGGCTGAAGAAGCTGCCTCCCGCCATCCGGCCGATCGTCCCAAACGCCCCCGGTGACGATCGGAAGAACGAGCCATGTGGCAAGTGTCATGTCGAGATCACCGGTCTAAAACATCCCGTCAGGCGAAAATAATTCAGTCTGGACACCCACAAGCAGGCCTCCTAAAACCCCAAGAAACCAACCTGAAAGGATCCAGGACCCTTTTCAGGTGTTTTTGGCATCGGACTGGACCCGACTTGGTCATGATGGCGCTGAGGTAGAAGCGCGCTGTGCTCAGTTAAACTCCAGTGACTATGACGAACATGTGTATATATATATAATGTACATATACCTAGAACCCATTTGACCTCTGTTTTGATAGGAAAAGACCCTATTTTGAGTGGTTGGTTGTAAGACTCAACCAAGCCAACCAACATCCCACCCATAGAGAACCAACACTTGAGAAGCCAGCTGCAGCCATGAGCAGCTCAGAATCTAGTTCAGACTCCGCCTCTGATTCGTCTTACAGTAGCACCAATGGAGAATCTGGAGAATCAGTTGATGGAGCAGAAAACTACAAGCTGGCAAAACAAGAAATGACCCTTGGCTCATCAACTAAGGATGACTCTTAGCTTAGTAGCTAATCAACGCTATGACTGTTGTAACTAAGGGCAAGGACCGTGGCCCCAGATCCAAAGCTGAACCGCTCACAGCGAAGACATTTGTCTGGTTGGGGATTTGACCTGCTTCGGAAATCAGGCCACTTGGGCAATTCAGAACCAAGGTTTGTCTTTCATGCAGCACTAGACCCTGCTGCCTCTGCAGCCCCCCTTCCATTTTCCAAGGCGCCTTCCATGTGGTCAACCACCTACCTCCAGATATCGAGTGGACCCTGATGTCTGACTGCCCCTTGCCTTTGAAAGGTCTTTGTAGGGTCGGTTGCATGAACTTTCAAAGGGTCCTATTGAGATCTAGGCAGTGGGGCATTGGGTTGCTACTTTGCCTTGAAGGAGGCTTTGGGCTGCAAGGCCAGTGTTTTGGCAAGAATTGTTGCCAAGGTGTTTACAGAAATATGTTTGCAGGTGAACTTGGTTGCAGCTACTGATAGGGAGGTGGCTCCTTTCAAATTCTTGCTCGCCAACGCAAAGCCAGAAAGGCAGGATATTGATTGAGAAAAACTAGCATTCTCTGACACACTGAAACAGAAAGTAAATGAAAGCTTCAATGTATATGGAGGCTCTACTGCGACATGAAGGACCGGGACTTGAAGGGCCTTGAGAAGTGTCTACTCTACGCTGCTGGATTTCCATGCCAGCCGCACCTGGCCTAATCCTTGAACAGTCTAAACTCCAACTGGCCTTGCAACCCTCAAACTACCTCAGCCACTTGGCCAGTCTGCTGCTCAGCCACTTTGCCTGTCAGGTATTCGCGACTCAGACAGAACACCACATACTTGAAGGAAGAGAACGCTAAAGTTCTAGATGATTGCCTTCACGCCATGTTCACGTGCCTTGGAAGAGATTTGACATGTGTATCATATCCCTGATTCTTGTTCAGTGTGCCTGCTCAGCTTGGTTTCTAGCCTCTTGGCCATCACATTCCAGGACAAAGCCACTGGTGGGAGTGCTGGAGAATGTGTATGGTTTATTGGATGTGTGGGCTGAGGCATTGACATGTTGATGAAAATTCATGAAGTGATGACAAAGTAAACAATAGTACAAACAATACTAACATCCAGCGCCAGGTGCGCAAGAAGATCGAAGACTCTGGCCTCCTGGAGGAGTACTACATGTGTGTCACCAAGAAATGCCCATCGAAACTAGGTGAGCCAGTGACAAGAAGACGGCTGTACATTATTTTTCTCCGGAAGAACCTTAAATGCATTACACCTCATTACACCATGGTGCCAACCTTTGGTTTTACTTGCAGTAAGAAGTTGTAAGGAATGTGGCGAAGGCTACTATTTGCAGCAACTCATCATTTCATGCCCACGCCACACAGTGTGACATCAACTTGGAAGTGGATGATGGACCCTTCATTTCAGTGCACCCGCCTTACAGTGGATATTGGGATATGTTTTTTCTGAGTCTGCAGCTACCAACTGCTGGCTATAGCTAAGACCATTGAGGCCTGACCTGATGCTGGACAATGACACAGACTATGTGATTCATGTGGCCCGGCAAATTTCTACAAATCTTCGCCGCCCAGACCCTGCAAAGCTGATTGATCTCACCAGTGCGCCCCTTGTCACAAAACATGGAACGAGCCTCCATGCGTTGTTCCCTCCAAGCATGTTCACCTTAATGTGAGAGAGCCCAGGCCCAAGTCCAAGAAGAGCAAACCACGCTGGGTGAGGAAACATTTCATCAAGATGAAGCAGCACAAGGCCAATTGCAAGTCAGAAGGCTTGCATTGTATTTTGATGGAAGGTGTACCCAACAAAACTTATTTTGTGGAAGGTGGACCCAACTCAGCTGAGAAAGTGCGCCAACATTCGCCGATTCTATCCTTCTCAAAGGGTCCAACATGCCCTGGGCCTAGCTTTTGACATCCTGTCGATTCAAACCACATCAATGTCACCTAGCCCTACCCTCATTTGGGCTGAGGCGGCTGATATCATAATGACCATTGGGCGCCAATCCACCATCAATGTGAGCCAGCAGATAGATCGGATGGGCGGAACTGGCCCATGTGCCCCATGCGTGACTCCAAAGGCAGGTCTGTTCAGCTACCAGAAGGGGCGTCCATTCTTTGGTGCCGACAAATTCTTATTTCAAGCCTTCCCTGTCATGGATTTGAAGCTCAATCACCTGACAGAAACAGTACCCTGTTTGCAAAAGGTGATTTCTTGTTCACAGGCATCAAGTGCAACCCTAGTCTTCAAACCAGAAACCTAAGGAACTTCACACGTTGGCAGGGAATGTGCCTGGTCAACCAAAGATTGCAAACTTGTTGAGAACCCAACATCGAAGCCAAAAGCCTTTGATGCCCAACCTGAGGCCATGCACCTGAAGTCTGTCGCATCTGCATTCCTGATTGGGCTGGCCGGCGTAGAGTTGGTGAAGTTTGTCCGGGAAGCCAGGCTGAAGCAAAGGTCTTCCCAGTGATGTGAAGACTCCGGTGCAAATTGTTGCTTTTGCTATCTTTTGCACGCGACTTGATCTTTTTATATTCAGTTTTGCCATGCACACATTCTTGCACACATCATGTGCCTAGCACTGTGCCTATTCAATTCAGCTTAGTTGGAAAACAGGCCGCAGCCATGAAAAGGTTTGATGCAAACAACCCTTGTTCTTCATCCTCTTCCAGCTCCCAGCCCTGCCTCAAGCGAGTCAAATGCAGTGAATCAGATGACGAGTCATCGTCATCATCGTCGTCTGAACCTGGGTCTGAGAGTGACACAGGTTCCACTGTGCCTGCGACGGTTCATGGGAAAAGTGAACTGCTGATGTCACACCTGTCCTCATTTCCTGGTGATCAAGGATCTGTGGAGGATTCTTGTGCTGCCACCAATGGCAAGTGTCCAAACAGAATCAAGACTGTGTTGAAGAGTGGATGCTGTAGTTGCAAGAACCAGTGCCACAAAGCTGTCTCTTTTGGTTTGGTCTTAGAGATCTGCACTACATTCTGGAATCTTAGCAAGGCTGCACAGGATTGCATTCTGTGGGGCATGCAGAATGTGCATAGCGCCAGGGGAGGTCGCTCACGATCGGATTCGGATGGCTCCAATTCTGATGGGGCTCAGAAGGCATTGAACACCTGGTACTTCCAAGGCAGGGTCAGAGTACCAACATGTATCAAGACCCTCTATCTACTTTCACCCACTCTGACCCTAAGATACCCTGTCTAGGTGTCAAAGTTTGCAGAGATGCGTTCTGCAAGCTGCTGGGCATTGGGTCGTGGAGACTGGTTCGCACCCGCCACAATTTTCAGGGTGAGGATCAAAGAAAATATAGCACCTTGCAGTGAATGTTGGTGTGGCATCCCCACCACCAAATCTTATGACAATTCCATGGGCCTACTTTGAGGCAATGCCACATCAAGATCGGCACCAGCAGCAGCGTCAGTATCTTCTTTCTTTGAGAAAATGTATTGGAGTGTGGGGGAAACTCTTCCCCATGAGTTTCTTGACAGAATTTAGAGAACCCAACCTATTCCTTTCAAAGGACACAAGTGTGTGTGTGAGAGAGAGTCAGCAACAAAGGCTCAAAATCCATGATCCCAACGAACATCTGGCCACAGAGCCACAGCGGGAAAAGTTGCTACAATTACTCATGGACTCTGCCCTGGAAAGTGACATGGCCAAGTCAGTTCTGAACTTGGGACCTGAGAATCTCATAAGAAGATTCTTGCCTCCAGGCAAGTACAGTGAGCTATATCATCTATATGCAAGCTTTCAGGTAGCACACAATCTACACACCGCTTCTCCAACAACCTTCTATCGTATTTTGAGGAGCTCTGGTTGGCGAAAGGTGTTGCGCTTCCGGCCTCTCTCGCAACACTCAGCGTGCAATGTTTGCTCAAAATTGAAATCACGCCTTCGGCATAGCAGTGATATTGCCACGCACGCACACTTTTCAGACCTCCTGATGCGTCACCTATGTGGACAGTTTCAAGATCGAAAAGTGTACTGGGAACTCCGCACCAGAGCAAAACGAGAACTAGACATACTCACAGTCATAACTGACTCAATGGACAAGAGCAAATTCGCATTGCCACGGTACAATGAAGGACGCGCGCCAAAGGACATTGCCAACCTGCACCGGCCAACGTCTGAACTGACAGCGGCTTTGATTCACGGCAGGATCATTTTTGTTGCAGTGGGCGATGAAGGCACAGCAACAGGTACTTCTTGGGTGCTGGAGGTTCTCAACAGAGCACTAGATTTGGCCTATGTTCACGCGCAGCAGAGAGGTTTGTGCTGGCCCAATATCTTGAAAATATTTGCAGACAACACCCCAAAAGATCCTGGGACTTTGCAACTTTAGACTTTGCAGTGCAAAAACGCAGTAACATCAAGCATTTCCTCTTGCCTGCCACATCAATGTGTACATTATCTTGCTCAGGAAGTGAAAAACGGTATATTTGGATCATTCTGCTCTTCACTCACTGCTTTGGGATACTTCAACCAGGTATCCCATGAGCACTTGTGTGTTGGCCATACACACGAGGATGTTGGCAACATGGCACAAAAAAAACAATGTAACTGTACATTTAATAGTATAGACTGTGTGCGACTGCTGTCACCTGATTCATTTGAATTTCCCAGCAGCCAAGATGCCTTTTTTGGATTATTGACAAAGTACATACGCACTGGAGATGACAATATGCACCTTGGGCGTAACATAACTAATATTATACCGTTCCTTTTGAATAAGCCGAATTGGAACATTGCCACCAGACTTTTCCACCAAGTGGCCAAGGCAAACACCAGACGATATAGTACAGCCAAATCCTTAGATGGCAACTATTGGGTGAAACAAAGATGGGACTCAGCAATAACATGTAATAACCCAGGCTTCTTCGACAACGCGTGGCTCCACTATTTGAGGAGAAGGGATTTGAATTTCATGTGGAGTACATCAAGGCCGCAAGGAACTGGAAGGACTTCCTTCCAAGTATCGCAAGCCTTTCTGGCGCCTACCGCAAGCGCAGCAAATATGATGAGACTGTTGTCCCACATTCATTCACTTTTGTGCAGAGGAGTAGTCTCTAGGTTGTGCCAAGCAAAGTTTGTTGGAACATGTCGGAACACACAGGAAAACACTTTTGGAATTCATATATTTACCTTGACTTACCTGTGTGTCCTGAGCGATTGCCAACACGACCAGGATTGCCAACAGTCCTTCTTGACCAAGCGCAGTCCAGAATGCCCAGGAGGTTTGAACCCTGCTCAACTGACACGTATTGTTTGGTGAAAGCCTTTGTTAGCGATCCAGACCTAAGCCAGCCGCCTTTGTTGGTCTTGCCGGGGGCATCTGTATCTAGTGCAGTGGAACCATACATTCGAAAGCTGGCTGAGGGCGATGTCCCATGAAACTTAGATTTGCTTGAGACAGAACAACTTTTTTCATACTCATTCCCATAGCTGACTTGAATGCCCCAAATCTTTTGCCCAGAGTTTGAAGCCAAGGCACTGCCCACTATTTGGAGGATGACCGCAAGAAGGACCTGAAGGAGTTAAGTGAATACTTGACAAAGTTCTTTCCACAGTACGGCCGGGGTGTCCGCTATTTGTTGACTTTGGCGGGAGAGGTGGCTCGCTATGTCCCAAACCCACCACAAGTTCGATTTCTGTTAGCAGGTGCCAGCCCTCCCCTGCAAAGGGGTGCACCAGTGTTGTCTCACCCAGAACCACATACTGTTCGGAGGCTGAACGTCTCATTCCAAAGGTACCATTGATGGATGCAGCTCACCTGAAAAGGCTTTACCTGTCATGCATCTGATGCAAACACTTACTTGTGATTTCCCTTGTATGGAGAAAGGATCAGGTCCATGTCCAAGGTGAACACGTTGAATTGCCTTTCATTGTTGACAGGGGTTCAAATCTCTGTTGCAGCAATGGCAGCGCCTGTTGATGCTGTCCCAGCGGTCAAGCAGGAGACTCTCTTACAACTGACAAAAGAACACCAACCACTGTTTGAAGCCTTGAGCTGACACTCACAAATTGTGGGCCTGTGTCAGGAGGATGGTACCTCTTCCCATGATGGATCACCAGATTCCAAACAGCTTTCATTGAAACATCGGCTTCTTACTGCCTTTGAAGAGGCCTTCCTTTTACATTTCCCTTTTGGTTCAGAGTTCACGGGAGGAAGTCTGGGCAGGTCACTGCTGAAAAGAACATTGGTCAACTCCTATGGGATTGTCATGGCTGCGATGAGGGGAAGCAGCACCAATTCGCAAAGGCTGACTTTTAATCCAGTGATTGACATGTGACATGTTCATTATACCCTCCTCCATGGCTTATTGCTTGGCTTCCAGGCTATGGCCAACCTCTTTTCCATCCCAGCGGTGGCCTCAAAGATTCCGCAGGGCCTTGGACCAGTGCTGAAGTCTGTTCCAGTCTCACAAAGACTGAATTGCTATGTCCATCCCTGGCACTTAGACCTGAGTGCAAAGGCCAAGTATGGTGAAGCCGGTGTATACCCTAGCATGGTTCAGGTGAGATCTCACCTCCCCAGTGTGATTTGGCGCAACTACCATTCTGAGCAGGAGGCCTTGGACATCAAGTTTGATATCCCTGCAGGAGATGACTTGGGGTTTTTCAACGTTCGCTATATCGATGGACACTGCAAGGGACTAATTGTTCAATCAATTCTGGCCCTCATTGTGTACATGGACCCTCGAAGATTTCTCAATACACCCTTTTAGTTTCTGTTGGACAAAATGACTTCTCTTGGGAGCTGGCTGAAAGTCTGAACGTGCGTGTAACAAGCGTCCATCAGCATCCAAGGGCCTGGGCGAAGATGAGATCAGTTCTGACCAGGAATTCTGCACAATGCTGGCATCTCTGAAGTATTTGAGGGCAAATTTCACTCCCCGATCAGCTTCTGATGCCCTCTATGAATCATTGAGTAAGAGCCTCAACTTGGAGCTTTCCAAACAGATGGAATCCAATGAATGGTTGACTAGCCAATGAATGGTAGGTTCCTGTTTGTTTTTGAGGCCTTGCCCATCGCACTTCAGACAAACAAAAGCCTGGTCCTTTGGAGCTGGCTTTGCTGTTCAAAGAGGTCATTCGTGTGAAGCGAGCAGCTGGAAACTCTTCGTCGGTTTGGGAACTACTCTTCAGTTCAGTTGCTGAATACAACAAGTCTTGCTCCTCCAACAAGGTCCAGTGTTGTTGAAGACAGTTCGATTCAATTTCAAAGACTCATATAGATATTATACAGTTCATGCTTGCTTGGGGCGGGGCTCAACCCTGCCAGAACTACCGTGTGAACGAAGCCACCCGACGGTTGTTGTACAACATCCTGCGCTGCCCAAATGACTTCTTGACTTTGCTCAAGAAGGCCACTGAGGACACGGCGTGGAATCTCTCAGGCCAGCATGTTGAAGTACAAAGTGTCCATCTTCCCCTGCGTTGAATGGGAATGCATGAGAACTGTTTAAATAGTATCATATAATTGTAGTTAGGGCTAAGGATAATACATACTGTCAATTCAAAGGAATCGCGAGTAGCTTGTAACTGTCGTTGAGCCACTGGGCCACTCCCAGCCAGTACTTGCAGCAAGAATAGGATCACAAAGCGCCACAGCGAAGTAGTAAGTGCAGTGTTGTCGCACAACACTGTGAGCATCTGTTGCCCCTTCACCTGCTTCTGCCATGCCTTTATCTCGCCAAGACTAGATCGCAAGCCCCAATGACAGATCAGCCCATTGGCTGCACTAGGCCTCCACAAGGCTGGACAACTGTTGCTGTAGCCGCTCCAAGTTTTCAACAAGGTCTTGGCCAAGCGGTTCGCGGCTTCCTCTCCATCACAAGCGGCCCGCACTTCCTCACCTTCCTCGGGAGCATTTGCCAGCTTAGTCTGCGCAGGAAGATCGTTGTATCACAAACTGCGCCGCAGCTTGCAGCTGCATAATAATCATCATAGTGTACAAACATCTGGCTTTAATAGCTGGCCAGGTCAGCTCTGTTTGGCGCTCTGGTTGTAACAGTGTATGATTCGATTCCCTGCAGCCTTCACCCACGAGAATCTGGATGGCGATTGGTACGTTCCGGGCAGCACACTGGGAGGCCCTATCTCAGATCCTTTCTGGAAGAGTGTGAAGGAGCTTGGGGAGCTAATTGATGAAAACATATTTTTCATGTCATGTTCGAAAGTCTTGAAAGCAAATAACTAGTCATTGAAGTGTTCACTTTTGAAAGTATAAAAACTGGAGTCTGAACCCTGAGACCATCACCATCGAGAAGACAATGCTGTGGGCTGAGCGGGCTTTTGAGGAACACAAGCGTAAAGCTCCCGCTGGTTGCCCCAACAAGCAGAAGGACTGGGTTGGGGGTGCAAACAGGGTGAGGATTTCATCAACCTTTGTGTGGCAGTGGGAAAGTTTTGAACAAAAATGCATGGTGAACCCTTGAGAAACATGCTCAGCGAGATTGTGGAGGGCTTCAAGACCTCCTGGAGACATGTTGCTTGTGGATCCACATTCTCCCAGACATCAAGACCTTCTTTGGAGCAGGGGAAGAGCTGAAGAAGCTTTTGGCTATGTGGGATAATGGGCAACTTGCCAAATAATTTGCAAAAAAAGATGGGAATCAAGAGGAATTTTGTTTGTGCCAAGATCAAAAGACCGCGGTAATCAACAGTTGCCAACTAAAGAAATGTCCCAGTATCAAAAAACCATGTATTTTTAAGCTCCCAATCCCAAGACCCAATTGTACAGTGGATTTTAAAAATCGCTGTACTTTCTTTATGTGCAGGGGGGGGAGAGATTTGAAATTATATTTTTCACTATTGGAAAAATCTCTCCACAATTTTTTCAACTATTCTGAGTACAGTGATTTTTAAAAACCGCGGTATTCTCTGTCATTGAATTGGCAACCTGGATCTTACATGGTTTCTCTAGGAAGTAACGTCTAGTTGGCAATGGTCGAGTACAGTGATTTTTAAAATCCGCGGTACTCGACTCTGGCCAAATGGCTCTGAGCAAACCGCGGTACTCCACAAAAGCCAAGAAAACCACGGTATTCCACCAATGCCAACCAAACCACCCTACTCCAACTAAGACTTAGGCAAGAAAAGTCACAACTAAAATCACACTATTCCAGATCATCCAAGCAAAGAAACAACCAGAAATATAAACAGCACACTGTCCCAACGAAGCAAAGCTAGCCATAAGTTATTGGTGATCAGGAAACGTTGCTGGCCCAAAAAATGTTGAGGGGCACTGAGGTCTTTTTGTTTCTTGTAGTCTTCTTGTTGCTGTAGTTTTGTGGCGCTATAGGGCTCACGAAGGGCACCTTGAACAGTGCCCTTTCTGTTGTTGTTTTGTGGCACAATAGGGTTCAAAAAGGGCACCTTGAAACACAAATGGGTTTTATCAGTTCATGAAGTATAGTGGCTGATTGAATGCATTTGCACTGAAAAGGGTTTTATCAGTGCAAATGCATTCAATCAAAAAAAGTTTTATCAGTGCAAATGCATTCAATCAGCCACTATACTTCATGAACATTGCCAAGGACTCTTGACACAGAGCTGAGATCACATTGCCGGTCGATGGGTGGGTTTGACTTTAAGAAGTTGACCTTCATCATGGAGCTCAAGTCGTCTCTGCAGGAGCATGAGATTGAACAAGCACAGAGTAAAGCGGCTTCTGCATTGAAGAAGTCGAACGCAACTGCGTTCGAGCTCTTCAAGACCCGGCTAGAGCAGGATGAGATTCACCGCAGGAAGTACACAGAGTCCACCAAGGGTGATGAGTTCCGTGCCAGGGCAGCGTGCGTGGAGTCCTTGGAGGATTGGTGGGCACAAATTCGTACACAGTTTTTTGGTTAATGCTTTGTAGCTTTATCCAAACAGCTGTTCAACTCTCAATTGATTCCATGCGCAACGTGCAAACCCTTGCCAGAAAATGCATGGTTTGGCCTGGAAGCAAGTGAATACATTTCTCTTGGACTCTGCCCCAACTTGGTGCAATGCACCGAGTGCAAAGCAGCGAGAGAATGGGACTGCCAGCAACTTGTCCTGGAAACATATTTTACTTTTTGAAGTCTTTGGAACTCTTTTGGACAAGTGTTGGTTGGGTGTCCATAGCTCTTTGCGGTTTTGCTGCTAAACTTTGACACCAACTTGGGACAAACTCCCTCCTGCTTTAATGTGTGGACCATTGGGTTCATTGACACTTCGACATGCCTTAGGGTTACAATGAATGCTGTTGTGAAAGTCAAGTTTGTTACAGTGGTGCTGCTGTTCCAATGGTCAAATGTTGTTGCAAAGGTTGCGATGATGACACAGACAACACTGGCAATGTTACGGCGCAGCTCATGCCCTGGCTCGAAGCAACTTTGCAGGGCTTGAACGGTGGTCTCAGACGAACAAGCTCAGAGCTCATCATTGCATATTGCAACTTTCCATCTCATGGAGTTGTGAGCTCTGCCAAGCAGCACTTCTGCCTCCAACAGCTGACCAGTCTGGCCTCGACGTATCCCAGATCCTTCGTCGGTGTCATTGTTATGCCGAACAGGGCAGCTGACATGAGAGGATCGGCCAAGTTCTGTGGCTGAATGCAGTAAGTCTTTAGTTTGACTGTGGCTGGCCAAGTCGGGCGTGGTCCTAGAAACAGTACTTTGATGCATTTTGGATTAGGGGTTCATTGTTCTTATGATGGCACTTAGGCTTGAAGCAAAGGAAGATCCTGATGCAATGGAGGATGATCCAGTCAAACCAGAGGACCATGAAGGAGGGACAGTTGGGTACCATTTCCAAAGTATAATAGCAAAAAGGTTTAATAGCTTTTGAAGTGGAAACAACTTTTCAATACTTCTTTCAAGACCCATGAATAGCGAGTTATAAATTTTCAATCTTTTCAAACTATTCAATTGGCACTTTGCAGGTGCAGAGCCTGGTGACGAGGAAGTGGAGGATGGCGATGAGAAGGGTGGTGGAGATGTCATACTGCGTGACGTTCACTACACCATCAAGTGCCAGTACATGGAGCGAGCGCGAAATTTGAGGGCAACTTGTATTCAAATCAGCATTACTGCATATAGTCTTGTGGTTTTACCTCTCGATCTGTTTGTTGAAGTGATCTGCAAAGGGTTTCGAGCAAATGGTCTACTTGATTCACTAGCTACAGTAACATTATATATATGTATGTCATATAGTATGTCATATAGTGGTTACTGTGTTTCAAGAAAACTCCCACGACAACCACGGCCCCAGTAACTCTGGCTAGTCAGCCACTTTTCAAAAGTGACTCAAAGCTAAATCTCCTGGTCAGTGCCCTGGACTCGACCCCCAATTCAGCCTCCCAACTCACTGCCTTTCAGGTTCGCAGCGCAGTTGTGACTTTCAATCCTGACACAGTGTACGGGAGCAGATCTGGATACCATGAGATCCTGCTGGTTACATCCCAGGAGAAAGGAAACCCGATTGTAAAGAGCAAGCTCTACAAGACTGGTTCTGTGCATGGGCCATCGATGTTGCAAAGGCAAGACATGTTGAAGTTGCCTCGTGATGGGTATGGGACTGAAGCACGCTTCACACAGGTGCAAGAGCTCAAACAGGCAAAGGTTGCCAAACCCAACCAAAGTTGTGCATTTACTCCACCATCGAGGAACTATTGTAAGGTCTTATTTTAAGAAAGTATAGTTTGCTTACCTTTGAGAAAGTCTATCTTCAAGGCCTTGGAGATTGGAGGAGGTCCTTCTGTGTTCAACACTCTGCAACCCTGACAGCACGTTGGTGGGATGAGCTTTATTTCCCACATTGTGGATGGTCTCAGCCCAACATCGGCCGCAAAGCCTGCAACTGCTGTGGTGGACCTGCTGGGCTATGATGGGTGGCCAGCAGTCTATGGTTTGACTCAGATTGCAAGTGGTCCCTGGCCTTCACTTATATAACATAAAATTGACCTTTTAATTGCGTAGTCCTTTTTAACTGTTGTGTAGTGTCGATGGCCAAAGAAAACTGGTTCAACATGTCACCACTTCTGTTCAATGAGAGGTAAAAAGATTGCTGTGGCAACCATCGCGCACAGCCAGTCCGAAACGGCCTTCTGCGCTTCAGTGATCGCAACGAAGGCTTTTGACCTTGCAAGAACGGGCGGCCTAGCACTACCAGGATTCCCAGACTTCAAGAAAGCGGTTCAGGAACTGAAAAATGTACAGGCCCCACCGCAGCCTGACTATGAGGTGTGCGTTGCTGTGGGGGATGCTTTGGTGATCAAAGAGGCTTTGATTGAGCAGTGGAAAGCGAAGCCTGAATTTGTCAAAGAGTTGGAGTCCCTTGTGAAAACCCACAATGATGAGTTCAACAAGAAGGGAATCAAGAGGGGTTCTCAGGCGGCTGGGAACAACGAGGAGTCACCGGCGAAAAGGTTGTGCATCAGCAGCGAAGCTGTGGGCTTGGATGAGTTTGAAACGCGTTTCTCTTCAAGGCCAGGAATGTCCAAAATGCTGCAAGTTTTCTTTTTTTGACTAGACTCAAAGGGAAATGAAGCCCTCATGCATCGATGCAAACAATGGCTGAGTCTAAGAGAAAGCAATGTCCAAAAGAACATGATTCAAAACCTGGACGATATAATGATACAACCTTTTGAAGACTATCAAAGGTAGTGACTCATGAAGCCTTGAGGGGGGAACACAAATTTCTGAATACCACTGTCTCTTCCCCAGCCAGACACATATTCATCATACCTCTCTGCTCAGGAGGGACTTGGCTTCTGGACATTGGACTCTGAGCTTAGCTGACAATGGCTTGTACCTTCATAGCCATGAGGATTATGTGATCCCACAGTATGAGGAGCTGTTCTCCTTCGGTTCAGGCGGCTGTGTCAAGGATGGGGAAGCTACTGATGTCATGAGCGATTTGGGGGGCAGGTGGCTGAGATTCGACTTGACTGGACTTGCTTCTGAGAGCTTGGCCATTCTTGAAAACTCTCGCAAGCTTCCGGAGCACCTGAAAGATCAGGACTTCTTCAACAAGGCTTGCAAATGAAACACCCAAACAAACGAACAAGTTGGAGTTGGGGCGGCTGGACATTGTAATAGCTAGCAGCTAGCCAGTGGTGGCAACAAAATCCACAGTCCAAAAGATAAAAGCACACAGTTTTTGAGCATTAGAGTCTGTTAGACTTAACAGACCCTGTGTGGGTAGGTGCTGCCATGCAATGAGATTATCATGCAGTTGGAGAACACGGGTGAGGTCAATGTGGGGCTTGCTGAGCACAAGACCACTAGACAAGATGATGGTGCTATGAAGTTCGAGGCTTTGCAGCCTGTGGCCTTTGTCTTGGATCCTGTGAAAGAGAAGAAGAGGAAGAAGGCCAAATGGTGTTTGACCAACAATCTTCCAGACCCATGCACTAAAAGAGTATCCCAACAGAGTCTGCCCTTGCAATCAAACATTGTCCATGGGGGGGTTGCAGCTTTCAAGGCCTTCTTCAAACCTGGACAGGTGACTGCCATGACCTTTGGCACAGAAGTTCCCCTTGAGAAACTTCGGCTCAACAAAAACATTTTGATCTTGTGGCGGATGAGGCCTGGGGTTTGTGCAGGGTTGACACTGTGCCGATTTAGACATAATCACCCATGGCCGTGACCCCAAAGTTTGGCTTTCAGTTTTCTGTTGCATAGCATAGAACGCCTTAACATGGAGTCGCAATACCAAGTTACCATGTGCAATAGATATTTCGGCCCCTTCAGGTTGCACATTGAGAAGGGAACCGCCCGAACACTCGTGCCAGTACGACCAGTTGCTATCCTTGCTGGGGGAGTGAGCTTGAAAAGCAAGCGAGTGCTCCAGCTAGTGTGAAAATATCTAGCCACAACTCTTGGGGTGCTGATGCAATTTCCGAATTGTGTGGGTATGAGGAGGAACCTCACAGTGGTGATGATGATATGTTAAAATGCTGGTGCCAGCAAATCAGATTTGTTTGACTGCCTAAATGTTCCCATTTGTGGGGCCGCTTCTCAATTTTAGAGGTGGAGTTGAGGGCAAACATCGAGTGCACTCTGTGAAACCTGGCATTCGGTGCAAACCCTGCGTTGACTTTCAAAAGTGGCCAAAAAGCAAACAGCAAACCATGTGTGCCTATGGTTTGGGCTTTGCAAAACATTGTGGAAGTCAAACCTAGCCTATAATTGTCAACTTTCTGCATGCTGCCCAGTCTTGGCCCTAACTTGTTTCCTGGGGTATAGGAACAGGATTGCTCCATGATGCATTTTGCACCGAAGTTCAACCCCAATGAGTTTATGGAACTCATTGACTCCCAGATTCCTGTGGAGACCCCTCCTGCGGCAGCGTCTGCGGGCACAGGGGCCTCAACCTCGGCAACAGGACAGCTTTATGTAAAGTGGGATCAAATGGCGGTTGATTGTTTTCCACTGACATCAATTTCAGCACAATCTAGCATTTAATGGTGGATTGCTCTCCCTTAGTTCTTAGTCACATTCATTATCTAGATGCTGCAGGATCTGGTGGTGGCAACTTGCTTCAGAGGGTTGAGATGTCTGGATCCAGCTCATCACCGGATGGAAGGGAACCTGAGGAATCCAAAAAGAGTGCTCAGGCGAAAGCAAAAACCAAGGCACTTCAGAAAGTGACCGGTGAACCACAAGTGAAGAAAAAGAAATCCAAGAAACACAAGGATGATGACGAGGAGGATGATTGGGGCTGTCTTGATGACAATGAGCCCATTGAAGACAAGGACGATGAACCTGACATTGAAGACCCAGGGGATGGCATTGATGTCAGACCCAAGAAGACACCTGCAAAACGTCCAAGCACAAAAGAAAAAAAGAAGAAGACAGACCGTAAGGAACACAAGAAGTCCACCAAGACCCGCAAGCGTGCCGATGGCATGTCTGGTGAAGAGTCTGAAGATTCTGTGAGCAAAGCGATCCGTATGGCAGACTTTGCAGAACGCGCTGCTCACCCAATGCTTCAGGTTGAATCCTCCCAGGAAACCAACTTTGAAGCACTGCTTCCACCAAATTGGTTGCAAGATGTGGATTACCAGGCTGGCCCCAATCATTTTAGTGTAATACTTTAACCAACTGCTAAGTTCATTCAAGTATGGGATGTGCTTTTTTTGCTTGTTTGCGAGGACCTCTTCTCACACCATGAGCGCGCCGGGGAATTCTGGGATCAGCGCCAGAGGTCCATGAGTTTCATGGAACCAACTGCACTATTGGACCATTTTGACCAGGCCCTTTCACTTCCTGACACACCAAACCTGTCGTCCAATTGTGCTCCTTCTTGGAAGCTGGCTCAAGGTGGATGAAGATCATGTCAAGGGCGAACGAACTCAGGCCTTGCGCTCAGTGCAGCCCAACTGCCCAACAACAGAATAGAATGTTTCAAAACATATGAACTCAAAAATACAAGTTTCTGGATGAAATCAAAAAGAATGCAGCGTCTTATAAGGAGGCCGCCACTGAACTGAAAAGCCATGGTGAGGACAATGTGTTCGTTGTTTGTTTTTAAAACTCTTAGCAACTTTTCTGCCTGTGAAGGATGGCAATTGCCCTGAAACTGAGAGGGACATCCTCAGCCAAACCACATTGAGGTTGGGTGAGGACTGGTCACCTGCTTCAAAGGGTAGGTGCAGGTTTGTGGTGGGCGTTCTGTTTTGGTGTCTTCTCAGGAAGGGCGAGATCACTCTCCACCGCCGAAGGACAACAGTTTCTGAACTTGCACCCTTAGCTGCATGCTGTCTTTGGATGGCAGGACCCTGTGGTGTCCCCCAAGCCCAGTGATGAAATTGATCCATTCAACGACGTACAGGACCACGTGCGCAAACTTGTTCAATGCGAGTTTGCAGGGTGATGTGATTTGATTTATCCTCAATGTTTCAACCTCTAAAACGACAAGTAACTTACAAGTTACCCATGTTTCTTTTACTGTATTGGGGATGCTGAAGAAAGCCACAGGAAAGCAACATTCAGGAAGTAGTTGTGTACTGGTTTGGTTTAAGGTGTTATGCTCTGAGCTTTGCTCCTACTATTGGGTGCGTTGAGGGTTGGAAACTGTTTGTGCAACACCATTGACAAACACTCTTGTAGGACACTCTTGCAGGAGACAGTCTTGGGATACTCTTCTGGAAAATTATTGAGGGATACTCTTTGTGCAACACTCTTTCTTGTGCGACAGACATTCTTGTGGGACACCCTTGTAGGACTCTTGTAGGAGACACTTGTGGGACGCTAGTGGCTATAATATGGAAAGCATTGGGGCTAGTCTTTCAAGCCACTGGTGAAACGATAAGACCCTTACCCACCCCTCTCAACATGGGAAACATGGTTGAAATCATTTACCATTTACACCACTCCTTTGCCCCTCCTCAGCCCAAATGCCCACTGTCTTAAAGACAAGGCTTTCTTGTCCAGCAGTAGAGCATGGTTGAACGAAACAACTATAGAATGCTCACCTCTTCCACTCACCTGGTGCGCAGGACCAAAATGTCAAGATGAGGGATGAGGCCTGCGAGGCCTGCCACTTCTCCCCCTGCCACTTCTTCCCCTGCCACTTCTTCCCCTGCAAGCGGCGCAGGCTGGCCTTTGTCTGAGCCAGCCAGAGTTTGAAGATGGAGCTTCAACCTGAGTGCAGTGCGGTACTTCTACTTCTAAATTCTGCTTCTATCTACTGCAAGTTTGTTGGACTCCCTCAGGCCACAAAAGATTGTGAAGTTGAGGGCTTGCCAGATGACAAGGCCATATATCCTATGTTGGTGCCCTAGGTTTCTATTTGTATTCGAAGGTTCTATGCACTGGCTATAGTCAAAAGAACCATCCACTTCCTATAGAACTTACTGTTTGCAGGATGGAGTAGTTTCTGTCCATTCTCGGTCGCCCAGCCCATCAGCTGGCAAGCCATCAGCTCGCAAGGACCATTGTGCGCTCGCGATTCAAGCGGCAGAAGTTGGAACATGTGCCCCTGTAAAGGATCTTTAAGTGTGCTTGATCTTAGCTGCTCAGGAAGGTGGCTCCAATGTTCCTGGTGCCAGTGTGGAAGAGTCAATGGCTCAGTTCATTGTCGCCCATAACATATGCTCCTGAAAAATGCAACAAAGTTTCCACATTGGAACACCTGCAACCAAGCAGCAGTCACAAAAGCTTAGTAAGTTAGCTGCAGTTGTGCGCATCGAGTGTGGAAGGACCATATTATGTGGACTATTGTGAGCTGTGTGGGTAACTGTGTGGCAGAGTTGCCAACTTTACAGTTTTTCATGTTTTTCTGAATTTGGCTAAGCCATGAATTGATTGCTGAGGATTCGGGCAGTCGCAAGACCATCTGTGCGCATCGCTATTTCACAAGGTGGTGGTGTGAAGACATCGCCCACACTGATGGAAGCCAGGTCAAAGACCAGGGCAAAACCGAAGGCCAAGTGTTCAGCGAAGGCCAAGAGTGCCCCAAAGGCCAAGAGTTCCCCAAAGGCCAAGAGTTCTCCAAAGGCCAAGAGTTCCCCAAAGGCCAAGAGTTCTCCAAAGGCCAAGAGTGCCCCAAAGGCCAAGAGTGCCCCAAAGGCCAAGAGTTCACCCAAGAAATTGAAATGTTCTTGGAACTGTGTTTACAGCCGCGTTTATAGGCAGCAAAAGAAGCTGGGCCTCCCTATGGATGAGGTTTGTAAAGCTGCTCGAGAGGCAGCGTGGGCGGCATTGAATAGCTCTTAGATCATGGTATCTGACAGAGATTTGTGGGGGTTGGGAAAAAGAGTGAGTGCCTTGTGTGTGGAGGGTTGGGGAACGGTTGGAGAAGAGTCAAGAACATGCATGGACCCCAAAACCAAGTGTTGATTGCTTTTGGTTCCAGTGCTGGTTTGCATGAGTGGATCTTTTGTCCAAAATAGAGGTCAGACTCAGGTTCTAGGTATATATATTATACATGTTGGGATATATTATGATATATTGGGTGAAGACCTCTTGTCTTGATCTGGCCCATTCGGGATCCCATGTGAAGCATCCGATCAACCTCCAAGGCATACTATATGGCATACTGCAAAGCATTCGGTATTGGAACACATTTGTCGTCGTAGTGGCGCAAGTCTTTGTTCACTCAAAGTCAGCAAGACTATCCTCTCCGTGGCTGCCCGCCCAAACAAAAACCAGTGACATGCATCCCCATTAATATTCAATTGGAGGGGTTGTGTCAGGCACTTGATAGATATCATTTTGACCAAAACTGCTAAAAGGAATTGTTAAGGGAGATGTCTGGCGGCAACAGTCCCAAAAAGTGTTCACATCAACGTCATCCGCCAACGTCAGCAGCCTCCAACGGCCCAGGCTGCCTTTCCCACCACGCGCGAGACGTCTGGCTCTGGTATGTATCCAGCTTCTCGTGGGTCGCCACGACCACGTGCCTGGCAAGCGAAAATGAATGAAACTAGGGAGATGCCTGGTCAAAGGCATAGGGGACGTTCCGGGTTCGCTGGACAAAATGAGTTGGTTGTCTAAGTCTATGGTTTGGCATTTTGTTTCTTAATTCTATACTACCTGTACCCTTTCACCGGAGAGTCTGTGACCGACCATGCGCTTCCACCTGCAACGCTAGCCAGATTTCATAGCATAAGAGCAGCATGAGCACCACCTTGGTCCTTGGTCTTGCTCTTGCTTCAAGTCTTTCAATTTGTGTCTCAGGCCTCGACTCCTTCTGCACAAAAATCAAACAGCCATGGTGTATGTTTGGCATGTTAAGTATTCATGCCGCGATTGTTTGTGCTTTTCACATGCCTTTCCAGCCTCGGTTGTATCCTTGTTTTTTCTTCGCAGTCCTGTATGTCAAAACCTGGCTCTTAAATAAGCACATCATGGCTCTCAGATCACTTGACTGATCCCTGAGTAGACTTAGACCCTACCTGCATTCCGTGGGCCTGGGGCAAGCCAACGGTCTACCCCTTGGGCCTTGGACCAAGCATGACCAAGCCCTTTCGAAGGGTGCCCAAAGCAGCCCCTCTTGCTCAAGGAGACACACCCGTTCTTGAAACCTCGAAATATTCCTGGACCTAGAGTACTAGAGGGTTAACTGAGTTGCCTGAGATTGTTGGTGGCTTGGATTGAAGGAAACATCCCAAACCAACTCAAATCAGCAAGTAACCCCACAGAGTTCTTGTCCATCGTGACGTTCCCCTGCTAGACGAACTGGTAGTCATGTACATGTATAACTACACAGAAGTCACATGAATATACATGAATTAAGAACATTAATGGATGCGCTCACTTGCGGTCCTCGCTCCCACAAACCCCCCCTTTCCGAGATTTCCCGGCGGGGTTGGGTGGGCATGTCGCCCGTGACACCACTGACCTAGCTAGGTAGTCCAACTATACTGTCTGTACACTACGAGCTACGAAGGCATGCTGTGGACAAGGTCGTAGATATCGGCAGGCGAATGTAAGCGTAATTAATGAATGCAGGTTCAAGAATTAAGGAACTAATTTGGACCAGGAAACTGAATATCATCGAAGTTTTTCTTCCTAAACATGTAGTAACGGACATGTTGCGTGAACTTGTCACGTTTAGCGGGATGGATTTCGACGTGGTCTGGCCATGCCACCTGTTCGGTGGATGTAGGCAGGTCGATTGGCGGTATTTCGTTGTGAAATGGTGGATCATGCGAAATTTGCAGGATGAGCTCATGTAGATACTTATAAGTGGCTTCAGCATTTGGTAAATGTGGTCTACGCGACACCCCTGATTCGTGGTACGCTGAAAAACCTAGTCTTGTCAAGCTGGCTGTACCCTGCTTTTTGTAAACAGGAAAAATTCGTGTACGTGAAAATGTTTGCAAATGTTTCACGATCAATCTGAAATTTTCGGCCATGACTCTAAGAGATCTTTTCTTGACTGGCTGCATCTGGACTTTATGGTGTGCATATTCCATGGCCTGCGAATAGCCAACTTCCTGGATCTTGATGGGGAGAATTCTCCCAGCCCATAGCATAAAAGAGATGGCTAGTTCTGTCCATGATATGCCTGGATCCTGTGGCGCCGGTGTCGCGGAGGGATCGGGCCAGCGTAGTTGTAGACTGAATTGCCAGACTAATTTTGCCCAGTTGATACCCCATGAACATGCCCAAAAGACAACAGGGTGCGGTTCCGGAGGGTGGGGAAAGAGTGGTTCTTGTACATGCCACTGTACTAGCTTTTGTATGTGTGTCTGTAACTGGTGGTGGCTTCTTCCTGATTGTTCCTGATTGAGGTGCTGGCTCGTCGAGGCATGAGGCATGCTAGCAGTGTCCTCGATCTTGTGCATGCGTGTTTGTGCTATATCGAGCAGGTAGTCGAGGAGCTTAGTAAACATGTGTTTTTGTTTCTGGTAGTGTTGTCGAACTGTATGGCATAATTCGTCAAATTCTGGCAAATCTTGTTTACGTACTTTTCCTGCGGCCTGATCAGCTAAGTCATTGCCGTAAATGTCATATAATTGTTTCTGGTTGGTGGCGTGTTCAAGTTGTTGGTGAGATTTGATCTTGTATGCCACGAATCGAAGTGGATCCCAAACTGAAATTAGTCGGCCTATGAGATCCCAGTGGTCTCGTTTATGGGGAGATTGTTCAATACGGCCGTCTTCAATATCTCTGATTATATTGAGGGAGAATTGTGAGTCTGTACAGAAGAAGATGGTGGCTTCGTCTGATGCTTTATGAGCTTCCTCTGCAGCAACAAGGATGGCGTACAACTCTGCGCGATTTATGGTCTGTGCTCCCGGGCAATGGCCTGTGGCTAATACTGTAAATTTTCTGGCTGGCATATCTTCACTGGGTGGATCACAGGTTATGGCTGCCCAGGCAGCGCGTGCTGCGTATGGGTCTCTAGGGTCATCACAGGATCCATCAGTGTAAATAGTGGTTCCATGATTAATGTGACAGTTTATGTTTGTATGGTATGTGTGTACCCGCAAGTACATTGATTGTCGAACAAGTTCCATCTCTTCGGCGTGCCACGGCAATGGGAACCAGCAGAGGTGAGGGAAGTGCGTGAGCCATTCCACTGCTTGTGGATGTTTGGATCTTACGGACTGAAATGCTGTACAATGGAGTAGTTGGTGTTTGTGGGTATCATATTCCTTACACCATGGACAACTTGGGTCTTCTTGTGCGTGCCATTGTGCGATGGCTCCATGTGATTGCCAACTGGAGGTCAGGGTGAGTGCGAGTATCCGTCTTTGTCTATCTGTCAGCGTTGCAAGCACTTTGTGGGTTGTGTGTGAGTCGAATGGCATCAATGGAACCCCCTTCCTATGCACGATGAGGGCTTGGCAGTGCCAGTCCCAGGCAATACGGGCTTGCTTCTTTATCTGTTTATTGGAGGTATATGGTAAGTGAACTCTGAGGCCACCCGGTCCGATGAGCGTGGCCTGGTCTGTTATTTCCCATTGGAGTTTGCTGAGGTACGAGGCTAGGGTGGTGGCTGGGCCCTTCACCGTGCCGTCGAATTGGCGGATGAGTTGAATGAACTGCCAGGCTAATTTAGAGTTATATGAGAAAAGGCGTCTTAGTGTAGTTAGGAGGTCAGTGACTATGTACAGAAGTGGATCTTGGATGTGCGGCGAGAGGTAATGCAATGCGACTGGACTGGAAGCATGTTTATGGTCGCCTACTAGGACCGAGGCTGCTGCGCGTCGCAAATTAGTGAAGTGCTTGTCGCCGATGGTGAGGCCTAAAGCCCCGTAGAATGTCGCTGGCCAGATGGCAATCTGGATTTTTTCAGCACGTTGGTCCAAACTGAGGTTCAATTTCTTAAGTCTGTTGCACTTAGCTATGGCATTGTCGATTTTGTCTCTAAGGGGTCCTAATACGACCTGATTATTGTACGAGATCATGCACCCTAGGTCATGGACATGGTTCTTGATTTTAAATTGGAAATCAGGTCGAGGTATGAGTGCTGAGGCTTCTCTCCAAAATTGTTGTAGTCCTTTAGTTGTCGCCCAGCACCAAGATT